TTTTTCTCTTGTAGAATATACCCAGTCTGCACATATTAATCCATTTCAGTACAAAAAGGTGGGATTTGCTTCACATGTCGGCAGAGTATGGTTCCACTTAACCATCAGCAGTTCACATCTAATAATGCATTGAATAATAAAATGTAGAAATTCAACTACGTATTTAAGAAAATAAAAAGATGTAGAAATTCGACTACGTAATTAAGAAAAGGTTAAATACCCTTTTTGGTCCCTCTACTATAAGAAAAAGCCCTTTTTTGGTCCTTGTATCAAAAAAATCCCCTTTTTGATCCCTAAAGTTTAAAATCCGGCCCCTTTTTAGTCCCTCCATCAAATTTTGCTTGCGTGGCATGTTAACTTAACTGGAATAGCTGACGTGGGTATGCCAACATGTAAAAAATGCTTACGTGGACTTCTGACACCTGCCACATCACTCGCCACGTCACTCTCCCCTCCAATTTTTTTTCATTTTCGCATGTGGGAGAGTGACGTGGCGAGTGACGTGGCAAATGTCATAAGTCCACGTAAGCATTTTTTACATGTTGGCATACTCACGTCAGCTGTTCCAGTTAAGTTAACGTGCCACGCGAGCAAAATTTGACGGAGGGACTAAAAAGGGCCCAGATTTTAAAATTTAAGGATCAAAAAAAGGATTTTTTCGGTATAGGGACAAAAAAGGGCTTTTTCTTATAGTAGAGGGACCAAAAAGGGTATTTAACCTAATTTCATTAGTGTTTGAATTTTGGCAAAACAATTTATGACATGGAAATGAGAGATTTAAATCACGCTATCGAATTTAAAAATAATAATAATAATAATAATTGGAGAATTACCAATTTGGTCTGAGTTTCCTGTATCCTTTACAGTGCACGCCGTTACTGCCTCCATATGTTGAGGTTGTCAAGCGAGACACCAAACATAATGTCTGGCAAAGTCGCATTCAGAGTGGGGACATTTAAGAGCCAGCTGATCTTTGCAAGGATCGCCACACCGATGACATTTCGGATAGGGATATTTCTCACTCTGGGAATACATGAGAGGTTCTTGATGACAATCACATCTATTATGATAATAAGAAATGCTCCCGCGCTTGATGAATGGGTAATCTCCAAGAACGCAATCGGGATGAGCATCAAAATCGCACTCATCACACCGATAAAACCAGAGCTTT